TCATTAGTTTAGCTAATCAGCCATAAACTTTAATGAAGAAAACCTTGTATTTCGAATGGTGGAAGATGATACAAACTTAGTGGGAGAAAAGCAACTGGCATTTTTTTCTTTACTAGTTTTCGCTTGCAAAGTGAAAAGTTCTGTCATTAAGTGCAAAAAAGGTAAATTTTTTAATATTAAAAGATTTTGTAAAATTATATTTCAACCTGTTGGCTTGAAAAACTTTTAAAATAGTTTCAGGAGCAAATTAAAGGCGAGAAGATTTTATTGGCATTTCACGTTTTTTTTTTTTTTTAAACTGCATGTATTACCGTCTTTACCTATGCCAAGCTTGTGAAGTTCAAAGAAGAAGGATAAAAATAGATTTTTGCGTAATTGTTACGACTTTACTCAAAACGAAGAGTAAGTTTAAGAAAAATCCGATCTTATATATCAGTGTAAAGGTGATATTCTCATTAAAAACAAAATTTTTGTAAAAATTGTTTTTCTTCTCTTTGCACTTAGCACAGAACTTACACAAGAATAATGCACTGCAATAAACTTAGCTTCAAAAGATTTACCACAACGAATTCTAAGTTGTAACACTTAAAAAATGCACAAAAGAACACAAGTCTTTTTATTTTTTTTCTCAATTTTGAGAATCAACAAAAGTAGCAGTTAGGCGACTCAGCAGGTGCTAATTACCAGTGTCTCACAATTCTGAAAATGTTATGCACAGCCAATACGCATCCTATTTCAATCTGTGAATAGATTCTAAATCTCTCTTGCAAAACTTCCTGCCATACTCCAGAAATATATCAAACCCAAAAAAGCCACAAAGTTTTTGAAATTTTTGTGTTTCTGTGGTATTGTTGTAATCTTGCTGATTGTCAAACATTGAAAAATTCGTTTGTTAATTCAAGATTGCTATCAAGTTAAGACTGGTTACACATGAAAAAACAGTGTTATTTCATAAACGATAAAGCAATTATAACTCAACTGAGAGCAAAATGTTCTCGACAAAATGACTTATTGTTCAAAACAATAAACAGTTTTACACATTTATTTGTTTATCAGCAGAATTAGATTTATAAAGCATGTCTGAGATAAACGTGATTAACTAATCAAAAAAAATAAAAAAAAAACTAAGTAAAACTGGAATTTTATGAAAAAAATTCAATTTTTTCTAATACTGTAGAATTTTTCAAGTACTTCTGCTTTTCTAACAACTTTTTTATTTTAGGCCTTAACAACTCAAAAAAAAGCTGTATTTTCGATGCTGTAAATGCTGTAAGCTGTAAACTGTAGCATTGAATGGTCTACAAAATTTAAATTTATGGTCATTATTCTTAAACTAAAATTTTGTGATCTAATTAGGAACTCAACAGAGCAGTTTATTATAGTCAATTCGTTTCTTTAGAATTTTAAAAGAAATTCAAGCATCTAGATTTTGCTGCTGTAGTATATTGGGTTTGTTTTTTTAGTAATTAGAAAGAAAGTCAATCGTAAGGCGTTTTGTATTATCCACAAGTCGCTGAAGTAAATGGAGGAATAGTGCTGCTTCCAGAAGGACTGGCGTAAGTGCCCGCGTAAGGTGCAAGTGGATCAGGTCCGCAACTTATAGTAATACTGGCAGTGCCTGTAAAAGCATGATTCCTGACCTCATTACCAAGGCCGCTAATTGTGTCAAAGAATCTGATAGTGCACTGTTGCGCAGCGCAAGAACAGCTGGTCTGGTATTGCTGGCAACCATTCGCGTCTCTATTATTCAACAACGTTGGTGGAGTTGGCGTAAAACCAATGAAATTTCCTGTCTCAACGGCCACAGAGCACTCGCATGCTGGAAGTATAATTATCTGTTTACGCATTGAATTAAGGCAGAGCTTGAAAGGTTATGTTGGAAAATGCTATATTAATAATTTTTACTTGTTGATGGAGTTGTCGGAGCTGTCGTCGGAGTAGGGGCACAAGCGTTGACATAAATGTGTCCAATCAGTGTAGGAAATATGGTGAGAAGCAGTAACCCTAAGAATTAAATGTGCATAAAGTAGAAGTGGCTCACTGTAATCGTTAATTTTGTAAGAAAAATGAACAATATTAAACATTTCAGTTATCTCTAATTTTTGAAATACATGTATCATTGAAAATCGTCTTACACTTAACTGACAATTTCTAAACCTGAAAGAAAAACTTTTAAAAAATTTTATCACTACTATTAAGCTTCACATTACAAAAAAACAGATAATTGATAATTTCACTTATCACTATGAATTTTGTTAAAATTGATAAATAAAAAATTATTTACTTTTTTTAACTATTTATATATGAAATCAATAATTACTTGCTGGTGACAAAACTTCTTTTACTAACTGTTTACAGTTTAATTTTTATTCTTTTAATGACATAAAGTACTCTGTTGCGAAAATTTCTGCACTAGAATTTTAACAGTAGCCTACTTCAAAGTATTTTACTGGATAGTTTTGGTAGAAAAGATTCTAGAAAACAAAAGTTGTGAAATTTTTGTGCAATATGTTTAGTCACTGATACTACAGCAAATTGCTCGGTTTAATAGTTAAAAATAATTGAAAGCAGCAGCAGATATTACTTACCATCGGCGAATGAGGTAAAGAACCCTTCTGCTGAAGGCATTATCAGATTTATTTGTCTTTAGTCAAGACAGTGCTTTGAAGTCTACGTTAAAATCATTAAATATCTGGCGGAAAGTGAAGTGATAAAATCAGAAACAAAGAAAATCTAACCTGTTTACTGCCATTTTTTCCTAATGACTGACAAAAAACGTTTGAAGTAAAATTCTCTGATAATAAATTTAATTGTAAAAACAACTCCATATTGGCCAATTTTTGATTCTATAGTTTAATAACTGCTTTACGTTTTTCCTGTCCACTCCCAGTTCTCCTTTTTTCTATCTTTTTACAGGCCATCAAAAAAAAAAATTAATTAACTAACTTTGCAAAAAAAAAAAAAAAAGATTGCCGGAGTACTTCCGTATTTGATTTCTCAACTTTCCGACGTAATACAACTGTTCTTTAAAATACGTTTCTTTCTGCCCTTTTTGTTTTTTTTTTCTTATTTACCACTTGCTTATTATTTTGCTTATTTTTTTTGTTCTATTTTTAATTTTTGAAGTTTTAACCTAATCAAGAAAGTAAATTACCACTTAAAACAAAAAGTGTTCAATTTTTTATTACTGTCTAAACTGACGACTAAGGTGTCTTTTTCTCATCTTTTCCACTTATAATTCGCAACTGCTTCAACAGCTTAGTAAACATTAGTTCTTTTTAGAAACATATCAGAAAAATTTTTTTGTAAAAAGTGGTATAAATTTAGTGCCAAATAAAAAAAAATAATTTTTTTTCTGACTTTTCTCAGAAATCGCTTGCTACAGGCTAAAAGTTGATGTCGCTTCAACGACTAGGTAAATTTGGTTTTGTTTGAGGTTTATTGATTTGCTCATTCAGAAGTGCAAAAAGCCTCTTGACCTTTATAGAATAGGATTATTTTGTCGCTAAATTACTATTATATAAAAGAGTTCCGTCTATTGTTTTCTTTTAATGTTTCATTCTTTATTCTATTACAGTTATCAACAAAGAAAGAAATTATGAAGAAAAATCAATTTTAACTGTTTTTCGTATTCACTTTCTAGTAACTGCTTAAAGTCGGACAGCTAAATGCGATAAAAAACTGTTTCTTACTTTCTTTTACTGTTTTTTTTTAATCTGTCTTTTCAATACCTTTCTGAGATCTTCTGTTAACTCTTTTATTGTCGTTGACTGTTCAGCGTAAAAACTTAGCAATTATTCTTCAGCTAGCAAATAAACCTAATTCTTCTATTATATGTAAATTACAAGCGAAAAAAAAAGCTACAGATGAATATCTCTCAGATATTGACACAGAAACTCAAACAGTTCCTGCAGCACTGTCTCAACATTCTCAGTGACAGATGACTTCTGTTTTTAATTCCTGAAAAAAAATTTGGATATTTTGTGTCAAATTCTTGGCTGTTATATTGTTGTAGGTTTAGAAATTTCAGGTTTTTTTACCGTATTTTTTTGAATCTATGATATTTTTTTCATTTTACAATGACGACGAAACACTGCTTTACGACTGCTGTTTCTAATAAAGAAACCATTTCTTCCTCAGCTATCAGACAAATTTCAAAGATTTTTTTAAAACACAATTTGGAAAAAAGAATAAAATAACCAAAAAAAGTAGATTCTAGATTCTAGGATATATCAAAAATGTTGGTAATGAGAACTAATACTTATTGTTCTTCTATAGTTACTGTCACGTTTTTCATCCTCGCTGTTCTGTTCTCAAAAGGTTTTTTGTTTATTATGCTAAGCAGATAAATAATGTTTTTATCTTTATTTGCTCGTAAAAACTGTACGTCAAACATTATTCTCATTGTTTTAGATGTCAGGTGATTAAAAGTGAAGTTTTTTAATAGCATAACAGATACAGTTTGTAAAAGTGTAGATTTTTTGACCCTTTTTCTGCATAATTTTAGGTCACATCTTTCGTATAAACGCAACATTCAGTTTTCAAAAAATGTTTTTTCAAACACGACTTAGCTGCACTAATAGCACAGCAATGAAAAACTGAAATTTTAGAAAACAGTTTTCAAATAGTAACGAATGCTTCCCAGACCAGTAGTCTTTTCCAGTGCTCTTCCACCAGAGACTTTTGGTTGCAGTAAACACCCGGTAAGAAAATCGCATAGAATTAGAAAGTCAAGGATTTTTAACAAACTATTATTGGAATTTTTGGCCTCTTTGTGGTAACATCATAAAAAGAGTTCATTATTCGAAATCCAGAATTTATTTTATCTAACTTAATTCAGCATTCAGGCAATCTCTGAACAAAACAAAAAGTAACCGATAAGAGCAAATCATCGTGTACGTCAACCTAAAGAACGTTACTTTCAGGGAGGAGCGTTCGAATCGCAGAACGTAGGGTGTTAAGAAAACAAAAAAACTTTGAAGAGGGAACAACAGAACATTTCTTCTGCTGATTTTGGGCACCTATGATCTGATATATATCCTCTAAAAAGGATTAGTTTTCTAAAATGGCTGAAAAAAATATTTTTGGCACTTAGAAGATCATTTCAGGTTAAAAACTGCTTTACCAAATCTAATTTTTTCATTGGTGCTGCTTAATGTACATTAACCATTTTCGTCAAAATGCAAGTTACTGCAGTAATATAATGACTCACTACGAATTAGTCGTTAAAAACTCTGTAATCTGGAAAAAAACTTGTAATTTTTACCAAAATGACGTTTTCCAATCCTGTCTATCGATTCTTCTCAAACCCTCTATTTTTATTTCTCTTAGAAAGTAAGATTTTTCAAAGCAGTTTTCTTGTCATTCTTCTCATCTTAACTCCAAACCTTCACTCCAAACAACCTAAAAATTTTAGTCAAGAGTATCTTTCTTTATACTGTAAATAGGTAACTGACAGAAAAATTTACGAATAGGCAACTGAAATTAGATCTTTTATTTGCTGCAGAAACTGTGTACATGATATGCAGAAAATGGGAACTACCAATTGTTGCTTGTCATTGGAGAGGTACTTATAACGACTATGACATCACAGACTGCTAGTAGATATATGAGCTTGAAAGCGGCAACCAAGTAATAGATTTGAAAACTACAGCAAGAATTTTACAAAAACCCAAATATTTTACCTAGTCTTGTCTAAAACTACATCAGCAGCAAGCATTAATTCATTATTGACTTATATAATGTTTTATTAATGTTTTTTATTTGAAACAAAAAATTGTCTCTCTAAAATCAACTTAGTTTTTCAAGGTTTTTTTCTTCAGCGTATTAAAAAACTTAAACAGTGTTCATCTTACACTGACAAAGTAACTCTCAAAGTTACATACCAAAATAACAATGGAGTACTACAAAGCAGAACGACGGAGGTGTTAGTTTAGCTATATCAGTGTCTGGTTTCACTTTCTTGAAGGATGGTAATTAGCAGTGCGTATTGTCCCCTAAAAGTGATTCAAGTGAACAATGAGTAATTGACGGTGAAGGGTATCTGAACGGTTCTGTAAACTTTCTTACCTTTGAAAAAACGTTGTTCGACATGCTTCATGAAGTTTCATTCGTAAAAATCAGAAAGTAAAACGCTCTTTTGTTCAGCAAATAAATAGAGATTGTATTAGGCCTATTTTACTCTGGTCTTTTGTACGACAGTTTAGTGCTAAACAGGTACCATTCTTTCATCCCCTCATCCCCATTCTGTTGCAGCTGCAATTCTGGGCTGGTAACATAACTCCTTTGTCATTTATCATCACATCTAGCCCTCAATTTCTCCAAACTTTTTCTTTAAAAGACTTAGTATGCAGTAAGTTTAGTAAGCATACTGTTTGCGGCAGTGATTAGCTTTTTTGTTTTAAGCTCCAACCGTTGCTTTGATATCTCTAATCTGTAGTTTAAAGAGATGTTTAACAAGATTGTTATTGCTTCCCTTCTACTCCTTCAAACCGGTAAAATTTACAGTTTCCGAATACATGACTGATATGAAAATTAGCAGAAAGTTAAGTGAAAAAAAAAAGATGATTTTTTTTGAACCAGAAGACGATTTGTAGTTATTAGGTAATCAAAGATTACACTCGGCAAATTTTGAACGAAATAAATTTGTTTTGGTTGCCGCGTTCTGTTTTGCAATACAAAACGGGTTGATGCCGTACCACTAAAACAGTTTATTTGTTTGTTTTTTTTTTTT